CTGTCTACCTATCTCACTGTCTGTCTGTCTACCTGCCTCACCGTCTGTCTGTTACCTGTCTCACTCTGTCTGTCTACCTGTTCACCGTCTCATTATGTCTGTCTATGTCTCGCTGGCTGGCTCAATGGCTCACTAATTTCAGCCATATGTTGTGTCGGGTGCGGCTGACTGCAACCCCGCCCACACACGGCACCCAAGGACATTAGGACACTGGGGAGGGGTGAGGGAGGGGAAAGAGGGGGAGGGGGGAGGAGGTAAGGTGAAGGATGAGGGGTAGAGAGGGGTGATTAAGGGGGCATTTGTGTATATCTCTCTCTCTCTCTCTCTCTCTCTCTCTCTCTCTCTCTCTCTCCACCACCTGTTAATCATCACTCCCCCGCTAACAGCTGGCACTAACGAGGTAATTAAGACCTAAATGTCACGTCACAGTTCACCTATCTGGCACCTACCCTAAACCAGCATCCGGTACTAATTAGGTAGTTAGGATTAGTCTCAGGTCATTAAAACAGCGGGGGCACTAACTCAAGGCCCTTGGGAACACCTCCTCGGATGACCTACACATAGGCACTAAACCGCTATTAACTTACTTGGCACCCCACACTAATTGGGCTGTTAGGACATATGTTAAGATACTATTTACCACTTCACCATCTTGCACAATTAACAGCCGGGGTGTAATTGGATAGTTAAATCATTAGGAGTGGTAAGACAGCGCCCTCAGGAATATCCTTCACGACTGGGGTGGTTTGTCAAGGCTACTGCCCCTATTTGGCGCCTCCGTTCATCAGATAGTTGGGACCGAGGTGTTTAGAACCTGCTCGCATATTTGGCACCATCCCTATTAGATGTGCGGGGATAATTAATTTAGTTAAAGCTACAAGGGACCCAGATGACAGCCCTTGGGAACACCACCAGCTACGAGGGGCCCAGATGACAGCCCTTGGGAACACCACATGAGGGACCCAGATGACAGCCCTTGGGAACACCACAAGCTATGAGGGACCCAGATGACAGCCCTTGGGAACACCACGATGTAGTTGCCTTGGTTTATCGATATGATACCCTTAATCACCGTTTTCTCCTCAATAGTTGATGGTAATTGGCTTGTTAGACGTGTGAGAGTAATTAGTCAAGACAAACTAAGTCCTCAACTGCACTAAACAGCAATGTGGCTCCTCAGATAGTTACCATCTAATTGGCTTGTTACAACAATTAAGAGTAACTAACAGAGACAAGCTGGGATTTCAATTGCACTAAACAGTAATTCGGTTCCTCTGATAGTTAACAACTCATTCTAATTGGGTTGTTCGACCTATTAAGTGTAATTAACAAAGACAAACTACGCTCTCAGTGTCACTAAAAGGTTATTTCGTATCGTAGATAATTGACATCTCACTCTAATTGGGTAGTTAGAAATGGCGAATGATGCAACCAACACTGAATCACCTATTTGTCCCTCTAGCTAATTGGGAACCTCAAACTGTAATACCTAAGTCCAATTTACCTATTTTGGGACTTTACCTATTTAAGTGAAGGTGGTAATTATGTAGTTAAGACCGTAATAGGCACAGTAAGACCGCCCAAAACACCAATTACAGATGAATGGTCCCTATTAAAAACTCCTTACCTATTGTGTACCCACCATAGTCCCTATTTAAACAGGTGGAGGTAATTGGGTCATTAAGACTGTATGGGAGGTAGTCAAACAAGCGTCCCAAGCAAGCGTCCCAAGCAAGTGTCCCAAGCAAGTGTCCCAAGCAAGCAGGTGCCTTCAAGGTCATTGGACACCTTGATTGTAATGTCCCACAGGTAATGAAGTCAGGTGTACAGCGACAGGTGGCTCACACACACACACACACACACACCCATCTGTTGTTCGCTTGGTGTTTGTTTGTTTGTGTGTGTGTGTGTGTGTGTGTTGTGTGTGTGTGTGTGTGTGTGTGTGTGTGTGTGTGTGTGTGTGTGTGTGTGTGTGTGTGTGTGTGTCTCCATATATATTTTCCTTCTCTCTTTCCCCTTCTTTCCTTCCTCCTCTCCTCCTCCTCCTTCCTCTCTTCGTCCCCTCTTCCTCCCCCTTCCACTCATTTAATAACAACAACAATAATAACAATAACAATTACTAAACAACACCTATCCTCACCTTAATTGCCTCATTAACCTTAACTATCATCATTAACAACAACTACATCAAGATTACTAAAGAATACCAACTACCATTAGGCTCGTTAACATGGGCTGGGGTAGTTCAACAGGCAATTGGGTTATTAACACATGAACCTTTAAGGTAGAGTGGAATTAAATGAGGGGAGGGGATGGAGAGGGAAGGGGTGAGAGGGAGGGGATGGAGGAGGGATGGAGAGGGAGGGGGTGAGAGGGAGGGGATGGAGAGGGAAGGGGTGTACAAGTAGTTAACATATTGTAAACAGACATAAATAGATGATATATATACCACCACTTTGTTTGTTTATTTGGGTTGAACAGGAAGGATAACTGGTCAGAGAGAGAGAGAGAAACAAAAAAACAGCGATGGATTCTCGCCTTAAGCACAACGTGACGTCACACTTTCAGCCCGTGACGTCACCAATGTAAACAAACCCCCAAATATTTCCCCACCCCTCTCAACCCCCTATCTCCATAAAATGGTTAACGAGGGGGTATAACGAAAGAGATTGAGAGGATCTGGTACGGTTAACGAGATAGGAAGACCAGAGGATATTGTTGTATTAAACCATGTCTTTACAGCCACTTTCTCTCAGGTTAACGAAAAGGTTTAACGAACGATATTGTAAGAATTATTAAAAAACGGTTAACGAGAGAAAAATAATATTTAATGAGTAGGTTTAAAATTAGATTAGAAGATTATTGTGTTTAACGAAATAAAACCATAACGACAATTTTTACGATTAACGAAGCTTCCCTTAAAATGGGTTTGGTTAACTAGCTGTGTTTAACGAGACACATACACAACACTTTCGCTTAACGACTTTTAGAATCACTGGAGGTGTGGTTCAGCTTAACGAGGTCGTAAAGGTAATTGAGGTGGGTAAGTATGGTTGTTAGTGACGCTTAACGAGCAACAAGGGCGTATGTGGATCTCGTTAAACACGTGTGTTCATGATGTACACACACAGATGAACGTAATAAAATACTTACATGGATTCAGATACACACACACACACACATACGCACACACGCAAACACACGTATACACACATAAACGTACACATACATAATCGTACACATACACATACGTACACACACATACATACACATAAACGTTTGTTTACACGTCTGTTGTTAAACCCTCCTCTCTGTGGTGTGGTTTAGTTTGACCCTGGTTTAACGTTTTATATTTTACTTTGGGTCTTTTGGTTGTGTTAATGTTTTTTTGTGGTTTAAGTCTTATTTTATTTCGCTTTAATCTGTTTTAATGTTTTATGTTGGTTTAAGAATTATCTATTTATCTATCTATCGTTATATATATTCAACTTAACTCCAATCAATACTAACATACATACATACATACATACATACATACATACACCTGCCCAGGAATGCTGTTTACAAGGGGAATGACCTGACCTCGTGACCCAAGAGAGAGAGAGAGAGAGAGAGAGAGACCAAAGACTCCAATGCTTCTTTTGCCTCACATCTCTCTCTCCTCCTCCTCCCCCTCTCCCTCCTCTCCCTCCTCCCCCTTCTCTCTTCTCTCCTTTCCCTCCCTCCCCTTCTCTCAACCATTCCCTCCTCCCCTCCCAAACCAGAGGGGCAGGTGTGTAGGTCCGGTTTGGTCAAGGATTAACTCACACAGGATAAGTCCAGGTCATTTTAGAGGGGGAGGGTGATGGTGGTAGAGGAAGGAGGAGGAAGAGGAGGAGGAAGAAGAGGATGAAGAGAAAGAGGAGGAGGAAGAGGGGCGTAACACCACAGCACCATGTAAAGGCGTGAAAGCAGATAACCAGTTGTTTTACCTGTACCTGTACCTGTACCTGTATTTGTACCTGTACCTGTACCTGTATTTGTACCTGTATTTGTACCTGTATCTGTACCTGGAGTTTTGTAAGCTGTTGTTATTATACATCTGGTAAACAAAGACCCGTTTTCTATGGTTAAGGGAGAGAAATTTGTAGGGGTAACTTAGATAGTGATCATTTACCATTGTATTCTGTCGCAGCTGAAGGAATAGTCCCTCGTGTGTGTGTGTGTGTGTGTGTGTGTGTGTGTGTGTGTGTGTGTATGTATGTGTGTATGTATGTATGTGTGTATGTGTGTGTGTGTGTGTGTGTGTGTATGTATGTATGTGTGTGTATGTGTGTGTGTATGTGTGTGTGTGTGTGTATGTGTGTGTGTATGTGTGTGTGTGTGTGTGTGTGTGTGTGTGTGTGTGTGTGTGTGTGTATGTGTGTGTGTGTGTCTCTTTGTTCATTATCACTCCTTTCCCCTCTTCCTTCGTTTCTTCCTTCCTCTCTTCCACCTCTCCCTTACCTCACGCCCACCCATCCTTCACTCTACCCACCCACCCCACCCCCCACCCACTCCACCACACAGGCCAGCAGGTGGTACCAGTGGGCAGAGGGTGGAGTCGAATTTTCCCACTAAAGGATTACATGCGACCCCCTTGTACCCACCCCTTGTGCCTCTCTCCTAGTACCTGGTAGAGGAACTAGTACCTACCTGGTTCTAGTAGCCTCCTGGTACCAGGTAGAGAACTAGTACCTACCTGGTTCTTAGTACCCTCTAGTACCTGGTAGGGAAACTGTACCACCTGGTTCTTAGTACCTCCTAGTACCTGGTAGAGGAACTAGTACCTACCTGGTTCTTAGTACCCTCCTAGTACCTGGTAAGGCTGGATAATATTTCTGGACATTAAGGTCAAATAAAATGTCTAGTTTCTTCTGGTCATTAAGGTAAAAACACTACAATTTCTCACACCCCACACACACACACACACACACACACATACACACACACACACACCTAACCCCAATATACAGGTAAAGAAGGCTAATTAACTCACCTCTAGTGTTGCAGGTAAGCCTCTGTTCTAAAGCGTTCAATAAGGGCTGTGTGAAGTTCATCTATATACTTAATGGCTTCTCGATCACCTCCACCTGTTGAGAGAGGGAGAGGGTGAGTGGGGGGGAAGGGAGGGGTGAGGGGGAGAGTGGGGGAAGGAGGGGTGAGAGGGGAAGGTGAGAGGGAAGGGAGGGGGGAGGGGAGAGTGGGGTGAGTGGGAGAGAGGGAGAGGGGTGAGTGGGGAGAAGGGAGGGGTGAGTGGGGAAGGGAGGGGGAGAGAGGGGAAGGTGAGAGGGGGGGAAGGGGAGGAGGTGAGAGGGAAGGGGAAGGGGAAGGTGAGAGGGAAGGGGGTGATGGCCTTGTAAAGTAATGGGATATTATTTATCTCTAAGCCTATATAGCAATTATTATCTCCAACTGGTGAGACATTAAATATATTTCACTTCATCTCTCACTATACCTCACTATCTCTCACCATTGCCTCACTATCTCTCACCATACCTCACTATCTCTCACTATCTCTCTCTCTCACCTTAGATACAACAGGTTTCTCTTGTAAGGCTGGCACCATATCTCTTAATTTCTTATACTCCTGTTTCTTAATCCTTTTGAGCCGCGAGCGACGATATTTCCGCACGATACGCGACGCATGCGGCCCCGATGGCATCTTGATCTGCGGCTGGTGATGGTGGTGATGGTGGTGGAGGACTGCGGCTGGGGTGGTGGTGTGGTGGTGATGGTGGTGATTGGTGGAGCATACACATACGGCAGCCACGTGGACTTTGCTCTTCAATTCCACCTGAGGGAGAGAGAGAGAGAATGAGGGGAGAGAGTGAGGGAGAGTGAGGGGAGAGAGAGAGAGAGAGAGAGAGAGAGAGAGAGAGAGAGAGAGAGATAACATATAACCCCACTAATGTGACTCTCTCTCTCTCTCTCTCTCTACACACAGACAGACACACACGACCACTTGACTGATAGCTACGTCTCCCCCATAATTATTCCCCGCCACTGAAATCAATTATATATGACCTATAATCGTCTGTGTTTGTTTGTGTTAAATTAATTAGGACAAATGGTGGTTAGTAATTGGTGGTTGGTAATGGTGGTTAGTAATTGTGGTTGGTAATGGTGTGGTTAGTAATTGTGGTTGGTAATTGTGGTTGGTAATGGTGGTTGGTTGTCTACTAACACCATTACCCCTTCATGATCATCCAACTACCACAATCACTACCATCTACTACCACCATTATTCACCACTATCAATCCCCCATCAACCACCACTTATTATCAATCGTGGTTGTCAATTTCTACCCATCTACCAGCCCAAGAACCATTAATTCCTATCAATGAGTGGTGGTTGGTGATGGTGGTTGGTGGGTCAATAGACAGTTGATTTATGACACTGAGGGTTCATGAATCTGTCTGTCTGTCTGTCTGTCTGTGTGTGTGTCTGTCTGTGTGTGTGTCTGTGTGTCTGTCTGTGTGTGTGTGTGTGTGTACGCTTTAATCAGTCACCCCCCCCAAGTGCTTCAATCTCTGCGTCACAACAATAAACAAACCAGTGCTTCATCTTACTTATTATCTCGAAGCACTGAAGCTGTTATCACGAAGCACTGAAGCTGTTATTCGAAGCACTGAAGCTGTTATCTCGAAGCACTGAAGCTGTTATCACGAAGCACTGAAGCTGTTATCTCGAAGCACTGAAGCTATTCGAAGCACTGAAGCTGTTATCACGAAGCACTGAAGCTGTTATCACGAAGCACTGACGCTGTTATCACGAAGCACTGAAGCTGTTATCACGTAGCACTGAAGCTGTTATCTCGAAGCACTGAAGCTGTCTCTTAAGGAAGATTATTCAGTGCAAATTAATCTCTTTGTCTATCAACTTATATGGTATTGTGGTTTAGTTCTCTTGCTTCGATACAGGATTCGAATCAGTGAGAGGGGTTTCTGAATCAGTGAGGAGGGTTTCGAATCAGTGAGGAGGGTTTCGAATCAGTGAGGAGGGGTTTCGAATCAGTGAGGAGGGTTTTGAATCAGTGAGGAGGGGTTTCGAATCAGTGAGGAGGGGTTTCGAATCAGTGAGGATGGTTTCTAATCAGTGAGGAGGGTTTCGAATCAGTGAGGAGGGTTTCGAATCAGTGAGGAGGGTTTTGAATCAATGACTCTCTTGATTCCACTATTTTTAAAGAACTCACACTGGTTTCAAATTCTGCTTCAATACAGGAGAGCGAATCAGTGAGGAAAGGATCTGAATCAGTGAATGAGGTTTCGAACAGCGTCAGAAGGTTTCGAATCAGTATTGGCGGGTTCTCCCTCAATGATTCACTCGTTCTCACTCGCTCTAGAGACCCGGGATGTTTTTCTAGACCTACTTTAGGGTATCAGGGAAAGATCTGGTTATAAATCATTTGTCTGGTTTAATTTAGGATCCACCCATTGACCAATTAAGGACTCCCTGAAGGATCCTCGCCATCTTCCTCTCCTTCTCGCCAGCACACACAAACACACGACTCTCCCTCCCTCAGGACCTTGTTTGATGAGTGTGTGTTTGCTGTTGAGCCATATACGTACAGGGGGAGGAGGGGGAGGAGGGAGAGACCTTATCCATTCACCTGTAGTCCTCTCTCCAACAATCAGGAGGTTATGTGTTGTGTTGTCTGAGTGTTTACTGTAGGAGACCAACAACGACAACAAATAAACAACAACAACAACAATAACAATAACAAAACAAAGAAAGACCAATCACCCTAACCTAACCTCAACCAAACCTAACCTAACGTGAGTAAGTCATTTGTATTTAAGCTGTTCTCATAGTAGATGATCTAATGAAATTTAAATAGACGTGTGTGTGTGTGTGTGTGTGTGTGTGTGTGTGTGTGTGTTTGTGTGTGTGTGTGTGTGTGTGTCTGTGTGTGTGTGTGTTGTGTGTGTTAATAATAATAATAATAATAATAACGGTTTATTGAAAGAGCTTGGCAGCCAGAAGACTGAAAATATACAGTTACAACATCCACCAGTCAAGTCAAGTCGAGTCGAGTCAAGTCAAGTCAAACCAGACCAACACACAGACTCGGGAAGAGGAGGGGAGGAAGTGGAGGAGGAAGAAGAGGAGGGAAGGAAGAGGAGGAGGGCAGGAAGAGGAGGAGGAAGAAGAGGAAGAGGAGGAAGGAAGAGGAGGAGGAGGAAAGAAGAGGAGGAGGGGCAGGAAGAGGAGGAGGAAGAGGAAGAAGAGGAAGGAGGAAGAGGAGGGGAAGGAAGAAGAGGGAGGAAGAGGAGGAAGGGAAGAGGAGGGAAGGGGAGGGAAGGAAGAGGAGGGAAGGAAGAGGAGAGGGGAGCAGGAAGAGGAGGAAGAGGAGGGAAGGGAGGAGGGGGGGGCAGGAAGAGGAGGAGGGGGCAGAAGAGGAGGAGGAAGAAGAAGAGGAGGGGGCAGGAAGAGGAGGAGGGGGGCAGGAAGAGGAGGAGGAAGAAGAGGAGGAAGAAGAGGAGGAAGAGGAAAAGGAAGAGGAAGAGGAGGGAAGGAAGAGGAGGAGGCAGTGTTACCTGTGTATACTGAGGCAGGTGAGTGAGGCCAGGTATGATAATGAGGTGAGGGGCTCGTGCGGCCTTCACTACTTCCAGGTACACGCTACACTCACCCTTAAGTGTCTGGAGCATTAGGGTGAATGTATCTGAGGAGTTAGTTGGGGTGTGGTAGCGGATTCTCGCCCTTGTGTGTTCTTGTAATAAGGTTGAAATTACGGTTTGTTGGGGAGATATTAATGGATTTTCGACCTTGTGTGTACTCAATAAGGTTGAAATTACTGTGATATGTTTGTTGGGGAGATATTAATGGATTCTCGACCTAGCGTATTCCTGTAATAAGGTTGAAAATACTGTGATGAGTTAGTTTGGGGTAATAAAAGTGCATTCTCGACCTTAAGTATGTGGTGAATAAGGGTGAATATACTGTAATGAGTTAGGAGATATGGTAGTGTATTTTCGCCCTTGTGTCCCCCTGCAATACGGTAGAAGATACTAAGACGACAGCTGGAAGTCCCTAGAAGCGATTTTCACCCTTAAGTAAAACCACAATACGGATGATAATACCTTATAACATCCATAAGAGAAAGAACATATGATTATCATCCTTAAAGTGCAATGTAATGCCTATAATACCATCAAACAAAAAGATTAAATCAACTATAAAATAAAAAGGGATTTTAGCCCTTGGGTACACCTCAGAAGAAGGTCGAAAATACCAAGAAATTTAACAGAATAGGATCATCGCCTTTCGGTACGCCATCAACAAAACACAAAGAGATAATCGACCTTATCCGCACCTACAATAAGAGCGAAAATACTCCCCCTAACGATCCAGATATCAGATAAGACAATAATAAGGTATTTTTACCCTTGGAGACGTGGACAATAAGGCCTAAAATACTCAAACACTTAAAGGTGGGTTGGTTAGGCGCATCTGGTGGGTTGTGTATATTTCTGGTTGTTGGGCATAGGTAGTGACGTGTTGTGTGTGTGTGTATGTGTGTATGTATGTGTAGTTTGTGTCTGTATGAGTGTATGATTAGCTAGACTGTAAGGTTAAACTGTATGGTTATGGGTGTATGATGGCCAGACTGTATGGTTGTATGGGCGTATGATTGTGTATGACTGAGTGAATGACAGCAAGTGTATGAGTGTGAATTAATATTGATATTATAAAGTTGTTATTAGTAGTAGCTGTTCCTGTTATCATCATTATTATCATCATTATCATTATCAACATCATCATTATTAACATCATCATTATCATCATTATCATCATCATTATCATTAGCAGCATCATCTCATCATCATTAACATCATCATTATCATCACCATCATCATCTATCATTCAGCATCATCTCATCATCATTATTAACATCATTATCATCATCACCATCATTATTATCATCATCATCATCACCATCATTTCATCATCATCATCATCATCATCATTATCATCAACATCATCATCATCATCATCATCTCATCATCATTATTATCATCATCATCATCACCATCATCATTATCATCATCATCATCATCATCATCATCATCATCATCATTATCATCATCATCATCATCTCATCATCATTATTATCATCATCATCACATCACATCATCATTATTAACATCATCATCATCATCATCATCACCACACACACACCATCATCATCATCATCATTATCATCATCACCATCATTATTATCATCATCACCATCATTATCATCATCACCATCATCATCATCATCATTATTAACATCATCATTATCATCATCATCATCACATCATCATCATCTCATTATCATCATCACTCATCATCATTATCATCATCATCACCATCATTATCATCATCATCATTATCATCATCACCATCATCATCATCATCATCATATCATCATCATCATTATCATCATCATCATCCATCATCATTATCATCATCATCATCACCATCATCATCATCATCATCATCATCACCATCATCATCATCATTATCAATATATTATCATCACCATCATCATTATCATCATCAATCATATCATCACCATCATCATCAATAATCTATCATCATTATCATCATCATCACCATCATTATCATCATCATCACCATCATCATCATCATCACCATCATCATTATTATCATCATCACCATCATTATCATCATCACCATCATCACCATCATCATTATCATCACTATCATCATTATCATCATCACCATCATCATTATCATCATCACCATCATCATTATTATCATCATCACCATCATCATTATCATCA